AAAAAAAAAAAAAAAAAAAAATCAACTAAATATATATGAATATACTTTAAAAAGATATGTTCGTTTTCCTAGCTATTAAAGAGACACGACCATAATACTTGCATATTACTATTTTATGGCGGCATTTCTATTAGTTTGTTGCTATGGGCTTGCCTGCTAAGTATGAACTCTGAAAATGTATTTAATTTCCAAGATAAATTAGTATGTACCAGAGTTTGATAGTTTATTTGACACTGGGGAATCTGTCAAACTGAAGTAATTTAGATACGACTTTATAGTTTGAAATGAGGCCAAATAGGTAAACAATTTTTTTTTCAATATTTATCAATAGGATTCGGAGTTCGAGGCATGCCACAAAAACGTGTTTTGCACCATGGAGCTGTGCGTGCATTATAAGCGAAACAGTCAGTGTTAACTAGCTACCTATCCTTTAGTCTGTCAATTTAAAATTAGGGGCGGCTTTGTTCAATTAGATCTGATGTGGCTTGGGTGAAATTCTGAAAGAAACGAACATTTTTCTTAATGTGGTGAAGTTCAACTTGAAAGTAGCTTTATATTTATTCTGGTATTGGTGGTATCTTCAATTTTAGATACTTAATATAGTTTAGATTTAAGTTTTTGTTTGTTTGTGTACATGCGTATCAGTCCAACATTTTAAGACCTAATAACAGCACATTTTAGAATCCCAAAAGTATACTATTCTTAGACTGTTTTAACATGTTAAATCAGTGTTGTTATTCCACCTGACAAAGAATTATTTAAAGCTTATACATTAATAAAACCTTTCGGTTTAACGTGATACTTCTGCCTGTTCCTCTTTATGTCAACTACAGACTGTAATTAGTTGCATCACAGTCTATAAACCAATCTCAATTTACTCTCTGTCATACCTTAACAGATCATTCCTACAAAACAAATATTTCAGAAGAAAGGTTTGGTCAGTTTTGTGGACTTAATATTCCTAAAACACAATAGAATTTTATATAAACACAGCACAAAATTAAATAAAAAACTTCCATATCATATTGTTCAGGTTTTCATGGACTTTGGATTTTCAACTAGAGCAGCACCTATGATTCAGGAGTAGCTGTCCCTAATTTTGAAAAACTGGCCAAAGAGAAGGCAGCCAGGTAGCAACATCTAATGCCATGAGTGCTCTATCTGGTTCTTTGCACCAAACAACGAGACTGACTTGTCTGGCAATTTTAATGACAAGCCCCTATCATGTTCGGTGGCATCACATTTTGAATCTCAGCCCCTTCAACCCACATCCCAACACCCAGCCGTTGTTCATGGACCTATCTTTTTTTGTTTTTTAATTAACCATAAAGCTGTCAGTTCAATATTTGTCAAATAGTATTTAAAAGATTAAGTAGCAGTGTAACAAAATTTTGAATTAATTTACTGTTTATTTTTATTTAATGGTTAGTTTGATTTTTTATGAATTACCATATTCATAATTATCCTCATAAAAAATATACATATATTTATTAATAAAAAATTTACAGCTCACAACAATTGGGGAAGAGTTAATTTGAGTAATTTAAGCTGTTATAAGAAAATCAATATACATTACTCATGTTACCTAATGGCAATTCAGTGAATGACACCAGCTCTTATTTGCAAAATTTTGTTTGATTACACACACAAACAAGCCCCTATACATCCAACTGGATGATTTGTTTGGTGAATTTTGTGTAAAGCTACCTGATGGCTATTTGCATTAGCTGTCCCTAATCTTGAAATGATAGACCAGAGAAAAGGCAGCAAGTCAATGACATCCATTATCAAGTCTTGTCATACCATATAGTGAGAGATGATTGTCATATTTATAATACACTCATAGCTCAAAACTCAGACATACCGTCCAGAACGCTAACAACTTGCTTCAGATGCTGCTTAATAACTTTTATAAAACAATCTGGTTGGAAAAATGTTAATGATAATATACACGATTGTTTATGATGCAATATATTGGCCAGTTGTATTTGTGAAAGAAAACAGACCAATTCTTCCTGCATACATTGTTTTTATACAGTTGTCCTCTGTAATAAATTTATACATAAAAAATGGATCTTATAACAGCCTGTACATCTCCTCCAACCAAACTGATCATATATGCAGAGTATATGTACAGATTCAAATAATAATAGTATTAAGTAAAAGATAAACTAATAAAACTAATTTTGAACAATTGCAAAGCAAAAGCAACAATTGGACCATCATAATATCAAAGAAATAGTTTTTATTTTCAGCATGATAAATTTGCACACAATATAAAGTTGCGACTTAAGGATCATTCAAAAATGTTACACTAAGAATGATATTTTTAAATCCCTTACATAACAATTTATCAAACACTTCTGACAGATTCTGAACAAACTGGTACATTTTATTCCATGTAGCATCTCTTCCTAAAGGTATGATGAAGCAGACAAGTAACTGTGAAGAGTATCCTTTTCATTGTAACTATACACTGAAAATACTTTTTTAATGTACCAACTACTAGCTAATAACCAAGAGGTTGCACCATATCACAGAATTGTAAACTAGATTTGGTATAAATATTATATAAATTTATTCATTTCATAATATCAGTTTGCATACCTAATATGGTAATAATCCTTATTCAAAAACCAATTATATCAATCCATACTCATAATGTTAAAACACAGTGGTCCATTTCCAATACAAAAATATTTTTAATCATAATGACACTTCATGAATTCTTTTTGTTCGCCATATGAGGAAGAATATTCAAAAGAATAGTTATTTTTAATCACCATTTCAATATTTATAAATGAGTTTAAAACTGTTTATTTTAGCTGATGAGTGTGAATCATTTATTTCAATTAAAGGTCACATTCCAGTACTTCAAACTGCTTCAATAACATTAGAAAGTTGAAATTTTGGAGTTCTTTCATTCATTAGAAACAGTTGTGGGACACACCAGACATGCTTATTGAAGTACTGAACTGAAATACTTTAAAACTACAAGAAATTCAGAAACTTGTAGTTTATATAGATCAATGAAGCATGAAAAAACGACAGTAACAATTAACAAGTGTAATCAACAACTCTTGGATCATACAAGATCACAGACTCTCCATGAATCACAAACTGCCTTACATATACCATCAGTATACTGAACTAGAGACAATAACCTGCTTTAGGCATCCTGATACTCTTTAACAGAACTGTACTATGTCCACTCATACCTAACCAATCTACAAACACAGGTGGTAAAACCCTGATATACAACTTTCACTCACATACCTAACCAATCTACAAACACAGGTGGTAAAACCCTGATATACAACTTCCACTCAAATACCTAACCAATCTACAAACACAGGTGGTAAAACCCTGATATACAACTCCACTCACATACCTAACCAATCTACAAACACAGATGGTAAAAACCTGACGTGCCACTCTCACACACATACCCAACCAATTTACAAATACTGGCAATAAAATCCTGACATGCAAAGCATTGTTTGTACACATTTAACACAAAAACATACTCACTTGCATGATTTATCATTCTTTTATGCAAAAATACAAGATGCACTTTTATTTATTATCTGATAATAGCTTCCTAAAAGGATTTTCAGAATTTGTTGAAATAAAAATAGATCAGTGTTTATTTTTTTACTTTACCTTTGATTACACTTTCACTTGTTTAATAAACGCGTTGGTGTTATACATATAAAAATACAATAATTACAACTGAAGATTAATAGCAATACAACTAAAAAAATTAGAAAGAAATTATGATAAAATACTTCAGAAGAAACCTGAAGTTTAAAAGTTATCCAAGTAAAACTTTATTTTGGAAAATTATTTTTTGAGGCATGTTGTAAGGTAAGATATTATCTCTGAATTAAAAAAAAACATTCATCTCTGTATTTCAAATTCAATCAAAGAGTATTTATAAGCAATTTTCTCAAAGTTACATGGCACTGATAATATAGTATAATACCACAACCTCAAGAAAAAACATCAGATTTCATTAGTATTTAATACACGAGCAAGTATCAAAGAGTAAAGTATTTTGGTAACTATAACTGATAACTTGCATTTCTTTTCTTTCCAGATCACTGAAAATAAGGTCTTATTTCAAATTCAAAATAATTATTGCTTATTACCTTTCATTATTTTATGGGAAAGAAACATTCATGGTCTCTTAAAAGTTTTTTTTTTGTTGTTGCTTCTCTTTCCTGAATGTACCATACATTTCTTAAACAGCCATATAACCACACAAATAATGTACTTAACATATGATGATATACTCGTATATATATAAAAAAAAAAACTGTATAAAAGGAATATTATTTTTAATATAGATAGAAAAAACAACAGTTAAATAATATAAACTGGTCCAAATGTCATCAAGGAATTTTCAAAAGACCATTATGTAAGAAAATCAGTGAACAAAAATGGTACTTACTAGGAAAACGTTTATGGCTATTGTAATGGGTATAAAAAATAACTTCCATACATAGGAACTGTATCAAACAAGAAAATCATGCAAATGGAAAAAATTATGATCTTTTAGAACTTTAAATGTGAATGAGGCTAAATTTAACCTCAAGATGACTTTCTTTGGTGAGCATAAAGCAAGAACAATATAAGAAACACTACAGAATGAAGTACGACTCAAAACAAAATACAGTATTTTTAAAATATTTTGACTATTTCTATAAATTTTTTATATACCGTTCATAACATGCAATTTTTTTTCTTATAGCTTATCACACCTGGCTTTTCAAATCTGCAAGCCACATACTCACTAAAACTAATTAGTAAAAATATATTTTTCTAACTTGTTTAGTATGCAAATGTATTTATTACAAATATATTCATAGCTTTAATAATGATACAAGCATTAAAATATTAGACAGTTTGTAAGGTTTGTGTCAGTTCAGAAATACTGCATGCATGCTGGTTTTATTCATAACATTTTCGAACAAGTATTTTCAGATAAGATGCTATTTAAATCAATGAATCACCTTCTTTAACAAACATAAATCAACCTCTATCCACAGTTTTATAAACAGCATTTATTCACTGACACCATTAACAAAATATGTCACACAGCTAAAGTGTAGGTGTAATTATCAGGAAGTCTTAACAAATCAAAGACAAAGTTATTTCAGACTTCATTACATATGATAAGTAATAAAGATATAAAAAAATATGATTTGGTATTATAGTAAATACTAATTAATAAAAAGAATAAAAAATCCAGTAATGGAAACACAGATTAAATGAAATACCAGAGAGGAAAATCTGAATAAGCACTAAGTTAATTATTTTGAAATGAAATGCAAAAGAATATTTAGTGCTTTATACTAAGCATTTCTTCATAATTTTCTTATTTCACATACAAATTTTAAGTATTCAAGAAACTTATTGGTATTTGTAACATGCATTTTTCAACCTCTATGTTTACACACAATTGTTACAAACATTCAACTTTATTTTTTATAATCACTCAGAACTTTAGGAAACATACAATTGTAGATAATTATTGCAAGTAATAACTTACTTTTTCACAAAGTCTTATTAGTTTCTATCAGTTTTCAGTAAAATATCCAAATACTACACTTTACTTAAATCACATTCTGCTCTAATTAATTCACTTGAAGGATATCTCAACTACACAATATTCTCAAATAGTAGTTAACATTTTTTTAACAAAGATTAAAACTCTCAAAACTTTATAGAATAAAAAACCCTTTTTTAACTAATTAATTTTAATTGTTTATAAGTTATTAATTGAAATGACTTTCATTTAATAAACTTTAATATTGAATAAGTAAGAAACACACAATTCTTTATATTCCCATTTCTTTATCAGTGATGTAATATTTCGGCAGAAAATTCAATGTAAAATAAACTAGCAAAACATTTGAAAATAATATATTGCACTTCCATTACATATTGTACTGCACATAACTTTACATTTCTCCTATCTAAGCTTGATATGTTAAGTGTTGCTTATTTTTTTTGTCTTTATTGACACTTAGTTACTATAATGGAATGAAAAATAAGCTACTGAAATATATTGAAATAATGAATTTAAACTGCACCAACAAGTTTCATCAGTCCTTCTGTAGTCATTGATTTGGGTCTTTCTATAGGAAGACCAAGGGCACGATCCCAGACAAGTGAAGCCATTGTTCCAAGTGCTCGGGAAACTCCAAAAAGGACTGTATAGTACTGCATTTCCGTCATTCCATAATACTAAATGAGAGCAGGATTGTAATGCATATTAACAAAACATCATACAAAATAAATAATGCAAATAAATAAAAGCGAACCAAATAATTTTTGACATTTTATAGGAAATAAGAAATCATGGCCAACAAAGAATTTTTTGCAGCACATCTACTTACACAAAAAAAGAGACCACTGTGCAAAATACATCTCTCTCTGATGTTTGTTGACATATAAAAAAATGAAAAATATTTAACTTGTTAAGCCTAATTTTGAACTTCATTTGCAAAAAACAGTTTTGTTAGTAATGTTTGTCTTTTGTTTGGAAAATATCTTGAGAAAAAATTATCTGACATTGACAGAGACTGACTTTATGGTTTTAGCAGTTTCATTCAGCCAGTTGTTTTTTTGTTTTTGTTTTTATTGGATCTTTTATATTTTTGCTGCAATTGTGAAATGTTCATCTCTGTGACACATTCCAACTCATTTGGATGTATTTTACGTATAACTGTAACGGGCACATGAATCTTTTAAAGTGGAATGTTCTAAAAATCTGGCTTGGGTTATGGGAACTGCCTAAGACTTATTGTAGGACACAAAAGCATTTGTTTTTCCCTCTTAAAATACATTTTAGGATATGCTTGGAAAGAACTGTGCACACTTTGTATTTTCAAAACTTAACAGGCACATTTTTTCTTTAATAATTTCCAGAAAAAATTGTTTTCAACTTATTTGTTGACATTTTTAAGCACTGATTCTCAGGACAGCCATTTTTATTTTTTCCAGAAATGTTATTTTTAGGAAATATATAATTGGCTGCTTTAAGATAAAGTACACAAATCAGATGCTGCTGTACATTTCAATATAACTTATGTGCCTTGTTGTTGTCTATTCCTTGTATATATTATGGCTATGAAAATTTTTTAATTCATGATTTTATGATCCTTGGTGTGACTTCTGCTGTAAAAAGTACGGAATTTTATAAATGAAAAAATGGAACCGAATAAATTCCATTTCCTTCAACAGTGTATTTGTTTCTTTGCCCTGCTGACTATTTTGTTGCTACATTTTGACTACCACACACACTTGAGGCAGTCTGTGAGACTAAGACTGCAATGAAAACTCTTTCTTTTATTTTTATTATTTTGGTTGTCAAACCTGTGATATCTAAACTTTTATTGCATAATAATATATAATGTTTTGTAAAAACCATCTTTAAAACATTGTTCCAAAAATGAGAAATGGGATACTTTAACTCCCTCCTTGTTATTGTAATACATAAGAGTACTTGCATTTCTTCAGGAAGCAGACTTACATTTTATTATAGGTGTTTGTAATGTGTGTAAAATTTAACATTTTGAGTAGTTCCATCACACTAATTGTTGAATATTTGTATTTGTCATGAAATTAAAACTATGTTATTGTATATATCATTACTACTATTCTAGTTTCTTAGAAGTAAATACTATTTAAAACGCAGTACTTGATATATAAATAGATAGATAGAGAGAGAGAGAGAAAAATGAAAGAAAATAAAAAACACTCTCCCTTCCTTAAAGCTTTGTTAGAAAGAACTCTACATTAGTTTTTGTTCTACAAACAATGTTGAATTCTTTGGAATTTAACACTGTTTAGAAACTGTTACTTTGCTAATATTTACTTTTTGGTGAATTTAAAATTATACACTTTTAAAAGTTTCTTTCAACATTACTGTTTCCAACATACTTGAAGCAACACTCCACTGTGAGCATCAACATTGGGCCAGGGGTTTTTCACTTTACCCAATTCAAGAAGAATCTGAGGTACAATCTTGTACAGATGACTAACAAGCTTAAACATTGGGTCATCAGGAAGGTGTTTTAGGGCAAATTCTCGCTGCACAACATATCGTGGGTCTGTTCTTCGTAATACAGCATGACCATATCCAGGAATTACCTTTATAAGTAATTGCGATATAAAATTAATCAAACAAGTGTATAGAATACATACAAGAATGAAGTAAGAACATTTTAATGTTTCGGGCTTTTTATATAGTGAGTACAACTGGAAAATAACTAACTGATTAAAGTAATAAATAACATACAACATTGAAACATGTGGATAACTTTCTGGAGGCCACAGATTGGTCTTAATTAAAAATGTTTTTAATTGTGTACCCATTTTAAGTGTGTACTATTTATTATTTTAACATTATACACAAGTGCCACGAAAAATTACTTAACTATAACCGAGTTTTAGTTTAAAATGACTATGGACTTCCCACATAATTTGTTTAACAGGACCATTAAAGTTACAACTATATATTCCTAGATATTTAACTTATGCATAGGCAGGAAGTTCTATTTATCATATTTTTCATGTGTTTTTAGAGACTCAAATTCTGAATTACCTTACAAAATATTTATATTTTTTACTCCCAAACTCAAAATGTACGAGCTTCGTGGAAAGATTTATATCCTGATAACCAGTAAAAAATCTATATAAATCTATATAAATCTACTTGGGTATGTGAGAACATATCTATCCTACCTGTCCAGATTTTAATGTCTGCCAAACAAAATCTTTCACTTGAGCCTCTGTAGCATCAAGACCAAGATCTTTCTGTAACCTTCTCAGCCACACAAGTACTTCCTGCCAAAATGGATGAACAAACATAATACAGACTGGGTTAATGCAGAAGAAAAATGCTTTTAAATCTTATTAAATATTGAAAAACCTTCATTTATAGAAAATTTAAATATTTCCTATTCAATTTATCACTGAACAGCACAACTGCTGCCACTACCTATACTTACAACACAAAATGACTAGTATCCAGTAGTAACAAAAGATGGCAGTAAAATATGTCTGTCTTTGTTCTTTTAGTAATGAAGACAAAATAGTAACAGCAAAAGTTTATGAAAATATCATAAAGAGATATAAAAAACAATAATAATTAAATAAAACAAATAAATAAATATGTTACATCTGGTTATTCACAAGTTAAAAATAATAAAAACATTTCTTTCTTAAACAGAACTGAAGCTCTAATTTAAAAGTCAGTCAAACAAAGACAAGCTAAAGTGTTCATTTAGAAACCACATTAAGCAAATTATTGAATCTATACAATGCAGGTGAAATTTTAAAGATTTGAATTTTTGACTGGTAAATTTTTACATAAAAATTGCAATCAAAATATTTCAATGAATATTAACTATAGATGTGATATTATATTTAACATTTGTTAAAACTACAATAATACGTAAGAAGACAAGTTTTACTCAGCTTCCCAAATACTTTTTGAGTATCTGTATAGGCATGTGAAGGTATCAAAGTTGTTATTTATGTAAAAGGGGAATTCTTTTATTTACGAAAACTTAGTTGAGAAGTCATTCTCATGTTGTAATTGTCCAAATAATTCCATTTTTGGTTTTCTTGTTCAGATGAATGTTATTTCTACAATACTTTTAAAATACAAAATTAAATGTAAACATTCACATGTCATGAAAATCACTTTTTCTTCAGGTATCTTTAAAACTTATCTAGCTTTAGTGTTACTAGACCAAAATCTGTTCAATTAAAACATGTATCTACAAGATGTAAGCAATATATTTATCAGTGTATTAATTATTTTCCTTAGATTCTCAGTAGAACACTGTTCCCTAAGTGCATAGATACATTTTTCCACACTGATCAGACATTAAATGTCTATTTCACAAAATTAAAACTTAAAATTACAATCCATAATATGAATACTTATAACTTCAATGTGAAAAGTATACAGTAATATTGTGTGAACTAAGAATGGTATCAAGTGTATGAAATCTTATTAAACCACATCAAAACTTCCTTTACATCATTCAAACAGAACAATGAAGGTCAACAGTGGAAAATAAAAAATAGTTCACAAGATATCATACACTTAGATTTTTTTAACAGTGTTTAGAACTGTAAAGTGTAAAACATTTATCCCTAATTTGGCTCAGACTAACAATTAGTGATTGCAAAAGCAGGGATAAATTTTTTTAAATTTTAAGTAACTCAGTTTTTGACTTTCTTGTTTCAATACTTTTCGTAGCATTAAAACTTTCTGACTATAGCTAGCTAGGTTACATATATATCAATCCCTACTTGTCTTTATAAAATTTTAAAAATTTCTATTAACTCTGTATGTGATTGACAGCAAGATTTCTCAAAAATGGCTGAATAAATTTGGATAAAAGTTGGTATACATTTGGACTATGACCCAAATTAGAAGTGATTAGTTTTTGGGGGGTCAAGGTCAGAGCAATGTCATAAAAATTCAAAAAATTTCTATCTTAACAGATAGAGACCTTTGTTTCACATTGCTTTTACTTCATAGCTCAGTCAAAAATTATCGTTTTTTGATGATACTTGGAGGACATATGTAGAATACTATTCCTCATTGTCCTGCAAAAAATGGTCCGTTTCCATTTACAACAACAAATGCACAAACACATTTTTGTATTTTTTGAGAACCAAATACGAGTATGGCAGAGGTATGCACTCTACAGAATGTTTCTCTAGTTATACTTGTTTCTTTTTTATTAGCTATATTTTTGTACACCACCAATACCAAGAATGGGCCACACATATACTTGATTTGATTTTACCCATCAGATCTATACCAACCTACCCTCAAACGTAATTATATGCCCAAAGTAGCACATCATCCATTTCCTGTGTGTGTGTGTGTGTGTGTGTGTGTGTCTATATATATATATATATA